GTGTGGGATCATTTTAAGAAAATGAAAGAGAAACCTGTGCAATAWCTGCWRRGCAGAACTTACCTTCCACAGCAATTATTTTTAGTTAGCATATAGCTAAAATCTAAAGATAGTTATATAATAGCAGATGCATTCTGGCGTGATAAGCTGTATGTTTTATATTCAATTAACGTATGATCTGATTAGTCGACTAATCGAAAAAATAATCTGTGATTAATTGATTATAAAAATAATCGTTTGTGGCAGCCCTAAGCTAAAACAAGTTAGCAGCTAACATACCTCTGATGTAGTGGCAGCTGCCTGCAGACATCGACATCCTGCTCCTCTCGACCGCAGACGGTTTAAAATCCACTTTTTACATTGCCGTTCTGCGAGCTTTCTACATTTTTCATCTTTGTGTGATAATCAGTGTTATCATATGTTGTCATAGGGTTGGGCAGAATCGTGTGGAATTATTCATCAGATAAACTTTTGCTGGTTATTATTTGGCACCTCCTCCTGGTGATGTAAGACGTGTGTGGTACCAACAGCCTCAGCAAATCTTTAGGTTCTGTCGAAAACTCATTCATCTTCATCATACGAGTCATGTCTGACTTATTTGTGAACAAATTATTGTTATATATCTTGAAATAGGATCTAAATCCATACAATAAAAACTCTACAGTAGTTTCCTCCATAGACATTTTACCCCCTGCCCTCCAGTGGAGATCGCTCCGCCTTCAAAACCACGTGACTGAAACCAGCTACTGGGGTTGTGTATATTCACTATATCAATGGTAGGCGAAGCTAATCAAAATGTTAGCTTTGCTAACCTCTAAATTGCTACACAATTTACTTAGTTCAGCTAACGATAAGAAGCTAAACAGAAAATAAAGAAAACAGCAGAAGGTAAAGCTAAAACACTAATATTTAACATGTTAACATCCAGTACATCATGTRTCAGTAAGAACTGTGTCTTGCATCAGAACTCGAGTTTTGTCTGTGAACTAAGGCTAGTTCAGTTTCCCTCGATTCATTCTGCCACAGACCTCCCAGTTGTGGTATCCGTTTTACAGTCAATAACTAAAATTTCAACAAATATGTCAAACCAAACCTAAACAAAGAGAAGTCAACACAACTCAAAGTTATTCATACACTGCAAAAATTGAAATACTAATATCTTTCCTTCCTCCTTCCTTAAACTATCTGCCTTGCTATCTTCCTTAAACTATCTGCAAATGTTCTGGTTTATTTAACATCTAAGCTGAGGTTTGCTGCTTCTATTTTTAGTGCTGGATTAATAATTAATTAAGCTCAGACACGTGCTTATGTTGTTAATCCTTAAAATTTTTATAGGAAACTAATTGTTCACAATAAGTGTACAGTAGTGATTTGTTCGATTGTGTAATTAAACAATCATTTATTGACGGACCAATTCAATTTCACTGAGCCACGTCACTTATTTTGTCATTCCCTTTTGCAAGGAAGTGATATTTACCGAAAATAAGATCCCTTGATAAATAATTTCCTTATGACTTTGTTATAAGAGGTGTAGTTAAATCCTTACATATAAATCACCACATTTTGGATAAATGAATAAACTGWTAAATCAACAATAATTAAAGCTGCAATGATTTACTTGTGAMATTTGTTTGTGCTTTTTGTAAACTCTGCATATTTTTTTGTACCTAATATGCCTAAATTATAACCTAATACAGCAGCACCACCACTACGGACCGCAAACGCCTGCAGAGAGWGGTAAAAACTGCTGAGAAGATCATAGGGACTTCACTGCCCTTTCTGCAGAGTATCTTCCACTGCAGAGTCCACAGGAGAGCAGCCTTGACCCAACCCACACCCAGCATGGACGATTCACACCTCTGCCCTCCGGCMGGAGGTACGGAAGTGTGAAATGCAGAACCTCCAGATTTAAGAACTAATTTTTCCCAAGTGCCATCAGACTTCTAAACAGCTGAATGTACCAATTTTCTGACTAATAATGCTGCACATGTGCACATTTCAGACTGTTACCTGTTGCACATTTACACTGATTTGTATTGCTCCCTTTCTTGATATTATTACTGTATTGTTCCCTTTCTTGGTGTTATTGCTGGTTTGGTCTCCTTCTTGTTCCAAGTGTGGTCTTTTTTATCCTTTATCCCTTATTGTTTCCTTAGTATCGTTTAAGTGCTTGATCTTTTTTTCGTCTAGTTGTCTCTTGATATTCAGACAGGCTGGCAAAGTAAGAATTTCATTACTCAGGGAAACATGTTTTATCTGTGTATATGACAATAAACACTGAATAATAGAGTCAAAGGTGGCCTAAGTATGGTATGGCCTCAATAAATTACATAGATTGTAATTGTGCATAAATTACTGTATGAGAAAATCAATAYTRACACCCAAAATTAGATGAACTTCTTACCGTTATTAATTCGATAAAACCCCATCACTGTTAAATTTGATGTTCTTCCTTCTGTGTTGATGTTGTACTCTATGTCATTTGTAATCTCTTCGCCATCTTTGGTCCACATTGCTGTTAGTTTATCACCAAAATTAAGTCTATTTGGTGGAGTACATGTAATGGTTATGAATAGACCAACAAATACTGCACTCGCATTAAATGGTAAAGGGGTTGAACCTAAAAAAAGACACAAAAATTTAAAAATGCATTTATTCTTACACAAGTTTTATATTGTATTTACAATAAATTCCTGGGGCTTCCTTACTGTCAAACTCCACAGAGTAGTTGTTTGAAACCAATGCACTGAAAATCTCCTCTCTTGCTTGTTCAAACTTGTTGTCAGGAATCAAAGAAGCCCTGACAGTATAGTCAGTGATGGTACTTCCGGCTCTGCAACACAGAACAAAATTTCAAATAAAATTCAGCCACAAAGAGGAATAACACTTATTTTTCATTGCAATGTAAAGGAATTACTTACAACAAACATTTTAAGTACTTATGGTAAATATTCAAAAGAGTATGCAGGTAAGGTTTACATTTGTACAGTTTATSGTGCATATTAGTCACAATTGAAAATGGCAGTCTTACCAGTTTGAACAAAGAAACATTGATATGTAACTAACAAATACTGTACTTGACTTAATCACGTCACATTAACAGCCCATTTGAACTTTGGTTAGGGGAAGGCTCAGGTGTCTTGCATAGATTTCTACATTTAATAATCATCAGTAGGGCTGCCACAAACGATTATTTTTATAGTCGACTAATCAYAARTTATTTTTTCGATTAGTCGACTAATCGGATCATACGTTAATTGAATATAAAATATACAGCTTATCGCACCAGAATGCAGTTGCCATCATATAACCATCACCATTTAGCTATATGCTAACTAAAATAATTGCAGTGGAAGGCAAATTCTGCCTTGCAGATATTGCATTGCACGGGTTTCTCTTTCATTTTCTTAAAATGATCCCACACTTTTGAGCTCCATTGCCAGGTAGCCATGGTACCAGAGCCTGTCTGTATGTCTTGTGACGTCCACGGACTACCGGGTTACCACTACTGCGCATGTGTGCCACGGACAGAAAGGCAGATGCAGCAGTGGAAGGTGTCAAAGCAGTTTGGAGAGAAATAAAAGGAAAAAACAAAACAAAAAACAAACGACTAATCGACTGTTAAATTAGTTATCGACTATTTTAATAGTCGATTAGTCGTCGACTAATCTTGGCAGCCCTAATCACCAGTACCGTTGGAAATTGACACCTACATATGTGGGATGTTCTATCATCGTAAGTTAAAACTCATTTGTAGCCTCGCACCGATGACCCAGTTGACATTGTGGAGGAGCAGAAAAGATGACACAGAATCTTGATGCAGAACCTCGCTTTACGCAACTACAACTTAACTCTGAGTGGTAAGCGCCAAAAACAATACACTTTTTCATAAACATTTTTAAATCATAACATCCTATATTCTGGGTGTGATTAGATCCCCCTAGTGGTTCATCTCCCCACCCCGAACACCCAGTAAGGTCCATTACTAGTCCAGAACTTTAGGCTTGAGCAAACGACCAGAACGGCTGAACTTGGACTCTGAAGAACCAGTCCGGTGAAGTGGAGGGCAACGAGGAGGGGCTGCAGAAGAGTTGCGCTCCGTTGGTTGTTGAGAGTCTCTGGAAGGAGGACCGCAGTCCATTAGCAACGTGGAGGGAGGTCTGCCTCTGCGAGGAGCCTGGGCCGTAACAACCTGATCATCTGCCAGAACATGAGTGGGTTTAAGCCTATCAATGCAGACTGTCGCATAACCACTTCCTAAATCTAAAAGGAAGTGTTTGGGACCTGGTTGGAGAACCCTAAATGGGCCATCATACAAGGACTGTAGTGGTTTCCTGTGGGCATTGTGTCTGACAAAAACAAATTTAGAGGCCTCTAGGCTCTCAGGGACAAATGGCTGCGGTAAACAATGATATACCGGGCCAGGGACACGAAAAGTGTCCCCCTGAGGCGAAAAAATGTTGCAACGGTGAAGCGAACTGTGGTGAGGGTACCTCAGGTAAAAACTCACCAGGGACGCGCACAGGCTGACCAAAAACCAGCTCAGCTGGGGAAGCACCAAAGTCCTCTTTGGTTGCAGTATGTAACCCCAGCAAGACCCACGGAAGATGGTCAATCCAGTTGTCACCGGTCAATGCAGCATGAAGTGCAACTTTCAATGACCTGTGAAACCGTTCACACAACCCATTAGCTTGGGGGTTGTGAGCTGTGGTTCAGTGGATCTTAGTCCCCACACCCTTGGCCATGGTAGACCAAAGCTCTGAAACAAACTGAGGGCCCCTATCAGATGTAATGTCTGAAGGGGGGCCAAAACGCACAACCTAGGTAGACATAAATGCCCGGGCCACAACTGCAGATGTTGTGGATGCCAGAGGAACCACCTCAGGCCACCAGGTGGTACGGTCGATCATAGTTAGCAGATGTGTAAAACCCTGTGATGGAGGTAGAGGACCCACCAGGTCTATGTGCACATGATCAAACCACCGACTAGGAATGGAGAAAGGTTCCAAAGGTGCTTTGGTGTGCCCTGTTGACCTTAGCACGCTGGCATGGGACACACGCTGCTGCCCACTCCTTAACTCTCTTACGCAGACCAGGCCAAACAAACTTAGAACTGACCAGTTTCAGAGAGGCTCTAATGCCCAGATGAGAAAGGGAATATAAGTTCAAGTTTATTTATATAGCGCCAAGTCACAACATATGTTGTCTCAGGGCACTGTACATAAAAAGAATACTCTAAATAAGAAACCAGTGGGCTGCGTTGAATCACTTCATCACAGTCTCCCAACCTGAGCAAACGGTGGAAAGGAAAAACTC